CTACATATTTTACAACATACTTCATGGAGTCAGTTTGTCTTCATGGATGATCCTCCTCAGAGGTCTTCAGCCTGGAACCTGCTGTGGTGGATTCACACCTGCTCCGGGGATATCTCACCCTAACAGCAGGCTTGGATATGGCACAATTTGAGATGATTGCCTATACAGGTTAACATGCTTTCTGCAAAGCCCTAGAATGATTGGGTCCCTGGGGCAACCACTGCTAGTGATGCAGCGGTTATGGGAGTAAATGTGTGAGGTGGTTAAATGTTGTATTAGAGCCAGGAGCCAGGACATTATGGACCCCCGTGGCTTTAGCCCACTGAGTGTCCTTTATCTGTTCAGAGTTTCTGGGTTTTGTTTGTTTGTTTTTTACAAAAAACTTTGGAATAAACTCTGCTATGGACTGAAAACTTGTGTTCCCCCAAATTCATATAATGAAGTCCTAGTCCTCAATGTGACAGTATTTGGAGGAGGGGCTTTAGAAGGTAATTAGGTCACGAGGATGGGGTCCTCAAGAACAGGTTTAGTGCCCTTACAAGAGGAGACACAAGAGACATGATCTCTCTCTACCGTATGAAGACACAGCAAGATCGTCATCTGCAAGCCGGGAAGAGGGCTCTCACCAGACATGGGATCTGCCAGCACCTTCACCTGGGACTTCCCAGCCCCCAGAACTGTGAGAAATAAAAATCTGTTGTTTACAAGCCAACAGTCTCTGGTAATTTGTTATAGCTGCCCGAGCTAACGAAGATATTAGTTATACTTGAAGAGAAAGAGCTAAAATCCATGCTAAGGACCACCTGCCAGGGAGAGTGATTTTTTCCATCAATTCCATCTATACAAGGGGTGGCGGGAGGCAATATATGAGAATCTCCCCCCACCCCCCCAGCAGAATGGGAATGTGTTAAAGTCAGGTTTTTATCTTTAATAAAGACCAAGATAACAGTGAGATTGTGTTTTTAACAGAGGTAGCTTCATGTAGAAGGCAGAACTTGATGGTTCCGGGGGAAATGAACCTTAAAACCACCCATGTTTCACCAAAAGCTTGTTCATCATTGGGATTTAGGTCAACACTGGGAGGAGAAGCCCAGGTCTAAGTAGTGAGGCATCCTATCTGATCCCTACTGGCTCAGGGGACATACACTGCTCCCAGGACCGGAAGTGGGGGGCGTGCTTTAGCCTCAAGGTCCCCAATATGCATGGAATTGAACTTCATAAAAACTCATGAAGGATTCTAAAACAAATTTTTATTTTTATCAATAATCTTTCCCAATTTAATTGATACGGTCACTATATTTGTGGAGAAAAAAACATAATTTACCAATGAAAGATACTATGTCATTCTTACTACCCCCTACCCACCCCCATAACTCTCTCTTTGATCATTTGATAGGATGGCTCTATATTAGGGTAACCCACCACCCAGTAATGAGTTATGCCAGAAATAGCCTCCCAGCTTAGGACCTGTGGGCTAAGGATGAGGACATGGATGGTAAGGGGAGACAGGAATCTGTGGTATTTTAAAAAAATGTCTGCAAACAACAAACTAGTAAGTATGTTGAAAAACTGACAAAATAATGGCCATTTCCTAATCATCACAGGGTTTTTTCATAGTTAAGATTTTATTAGGAAACTAGAGGCCCAGTGCATGAAATTTGTGCACGGGAAGGGGGGAGGATCCCCTCAGCCCAGCCTGCACCCTCTCCAATCCGGGACCTCTTTGAGGGATGTCCGACTGCTGGTTTAGTCTAAACCGGCAGTCAGACATTCCTCTCACAATCCTGGACTACTGGCTCCTAATCACTCACCTGCCTGCCTGCCTGGTCACCCCTAACTGACCCCCCCTGCCGGCCTGGTTGCCCCTAACTACCCCCTGCTGCCACCCAGGTCTCCCCAAACCCCTCTATCCCTGCTGTCCTGGTTGCTCCTAACTGCCCCCACCGGGCGGCCTGGTCACCCCTTGTTGCCCCCCTCTGCTGGCTTGGTCACCCCAACTGCCCCCCCTGCTGGCCTAGTCGCTCCACGCAGCCTGTTCAGTCATCCGTTCAGTTGTGATGGTTGCTAAGGCTTTTCTATAGATAGAGGATATTTCTTGCCTTGTCTGCTTAGTCTCCCTTAGTGGTTAATTTTGTATATTGCTCTTTATTATATAGGATAGGAATACTCAGAAAGACTGAAAAAAAATCACAAGACAGCATGAAGAATTAATTAGGACAAAGCATCGAGAGAAAGCTATAACACACAAGAGCAAATACAATTTCTCTCATGGCATCAATGGTCGATCTTTTGAGACCTCTATATTTTTCAAAGCCACCTATTATTTTCATCATCCTTGAATTTATTTCCCAAGAAATACTTAGGTTTCTTACTTATTGCCTTATATAAAGTCAACAGTACATCTACTGTGTTGTCTTGTCCCCTTTCCCCTAAATGCTATTTGAAATGTCAGGTCAGGGATAGGGTGTTTGATGTTCTCTGAGTTACCAGGAGTACATAAATCATAAATGCACATCATTCATGAATTATTCAATTTCTCTTGTGCTTTCTGTAGGCTGGGGTAGCTTTTGGTAAATGTGAATGAATAGACGACTAATGTTGAATGCTTTGAGGGCTCGCCCGGGAGCGTCATTGTCTCTTCTGTCTTGGCTGTGGGATATGAATTGAGTTTGCCTGAGGGAATTCCTGTTAAATGAACTTGGGTAAAATAGTCCAGAAAGATGGTTTGTGTGTGTTATGTATAATAGATATATATTTTTTATTCCAGATGACGGGATTGGACATTGAGAAGGACCAGATTATTGAGATGGCCTGTCTGATCACCGACTCTGATCTCAACATTTTGGCCGAAGGTCCTAACCTGATTATAAAACAGCCAGATGAGTTACTGGACAGCATGTCAGATTGGTGCAAGGAGCATCACGGGAAGTCCTTCCTCTTGAGTTGGACTTACCTGCCTGGTCCCCCAATATTTCCAAATTATCTCTTGTCTTTTCTCTTTCATTTGTGTGCGGGTCCTCTTCCAGATATTGAACCCTGAACCACGCAGGACATGAAGGGAAACATTTACCGACATCCAGATATCGGTAAATTTTCCATCAATTAAGAGATGGAAAATTAATATATAAATATTATTTGAGATGATTTATCAAAATAAATAAGGCAATAAGTAAGAAACCTTACTTATTTTGATGAGAATCAATTAATTGATGGTAAATATGTAAATGTTTCCCTCCACGTCCCGCGTGGTTCAGGGTTCAATATCTGGAAGAGGAGCCGCACACAAATGAAATAGAAAAGACAAGAGATAATTTGGAAATA